GTGAGGCTGACTCATCTGGAATTGGATGCTCACATATATGAACCAAAATAGTTGCTTATTTTTCAATTTAGCCTTTTTTTCTTCTTCTTCTTTTAAAAAGGCGTCTATTCTTTAATCAACTCCATACAGTTCAACAATGATGGCAAGAAAACCAAAATATTTAATGTAAGGTCAAACTCCGGTTGAAAAGAACGGGTTATATTTGTCCCATTTGTTTGAAGCAGATCTTTCAGCTCTGGAGTTGGTCTTACTCTCAAAACCTTCTGTTCTGACTGAAAATCAAGTTTAGAAAAATCCTTTAGTTTTGAGATATGATCTTCCATTTTGTCTAAACAAATTTAAATGAGTGTACCGTTATAGATTTGGTACGCCCTCGCCCCTCTGCTAACAGAAGAACGCACAGCGACGTGCACCTTGACCAGTAGATCAGTTGAAGTCCAGACTGAAAATGCATCTATATTTCCTGGACTTTGGGGAAATTGCAGAAACTGAAATAAAGTATGTCTTGGTTTTTATTTGTACTGTTATTTTATTGGTATTTCACTGCCAATTTTTATCATACTTTTGTTTTTTTTACTCAGTTTTATTTATCATATATCTATCTATGATGTTGTAATTATTGTGAAGCACTTTGGTCAGCTGAGGTTGTTGTAAATGTGCTATATATAAATAAACTTTGACTTTGACCCGCTTCATTATTCCTATGGGGCAGCACTGCCCCCTATCGGTGAGGCACGGTACTTTCTGCCTCACACTGTGTATTTTCTGTGTCTTTATTACATATTCGAAAAAGGAAATATGTCACACACATTCATTCAATATATTAGACAGACTGTAGAACATCTACATGTGTAGCATATGTCAAACGTATGTTGGCGATATAAAGAAAGACAGCAATGGGGATGCGTCAACCGCCTACTTCATATATTGTAGATGACACAACGCCCCCAGAGGTGAACCTGAGAACTACATTGCCTCACCTCACATTTCTTCTGTTTGAATAGGCAATGCGTAAATTATACGATTTTGACCATTAAAGTGTTCATATAATTCAGAAAATAATTTTATAAAACACACAAGTGGTCAAATGTATTTTCTCTTTGTTTGGTTGTCTCTCATTGTTAGTATTTTACTTGTCATGATGACAGGTGAGCCTCACCTGCCTCCCCTGACCGCACGTCACTGAGCTGCACTCACACAGTAACATGTAGGAGGAGATGTATGAAGGCAGCAGACCAAGAAGTGATTTATAGATGAAAATGTACCATTTACCATTTAACCACCTCACATGTATACATTCTAGAACCCCCTCCTTTCTCCTCCATCACCAATTCCCTCATTCCCAATGTTTGATCTTCAGTCCAGAACTAGACTAAAATGAAGATGGAGGAAAAAAAGAAAAGTGTCAAAAAAAAAAAAAGAAAATAACATTTCCAAAAGGAGCAGTAGCAGATGGAGGAGCTCAGAAAAGTATCAAGCCCGGAAGCAAACATACAATAACTTCCTGCTTAAGGAAGTTATTTTATTTTTATTTTTTTAAGAAAAAGAAAACAAAAGACGCGATTACATGATTTAAGAAAAAATGCACACGCAAGATAACTGTTCAATATTTTATAAGACTATAATCTCCAATAAATCCACATTTTCCTGATCATTCTGCCTTTATGATGCCTACAAGGCTTTTTGAACGTTTTATCGTTCCAACCACTCTCATCTGAATTGGTTGTATGCACCAGGAGCAGTTTGAGCTCATTGATTGGACACATATTTTATTAGCATGCATAACACTTGGAATATTATAACACATTTATATAGCACCCACTGATACTGCAATATTAAGGTATTTTTGACATAGTGGAGCCCAAATAAATTGGTACTTCATTTATTTATATTCAGTACAGTTCTCTACGCTGCAAAACATTAGAGCCTTTTGATTCCTTCCTGTTTTTCAGTCCTTTGATCAGGCTTTAAAGTCCCACTGAGAACTTTCTTCAGATGGTTTCATGAAATGATAATTCAGTGAGATAACTGGAACTGATTGGGCTCTAAGAAGACCACATGCAAAGTATAAAAATTGCTCACGGTATAAATGTATTAGCATCATATGGGATGTTAAGTCTAATACAGTTCGCACTCTGAGCAGCTCTGTGTGCCTGACTGACATGTTAATGCTTGATGGTTGATCTTCTTGTTTCATTGTTAAATCCTGTTTTTATTCTCTGTCATGTCTGCACATTTAACCTACTTTCTTCATGTGATCCAAGAACATACTCAAAATATCCTTTATATCCTTTTTTATGGGGCTAAAATGATTCAGATGACATTTATCTGCTGCATTCGAATCATCCTAACATAGAAATGACCTCTACAAGTCCCCTCCTTTGGCCAGCATCCTGGTGTGCAGAGTTTAGAAGGTCTTCCATGCACTTCAGACATCTCTCTAAAGTCATGCTATTTAGACCAGGTATAAACTGTTTGTCCACAGAGCATGCAAGAACATTCAGCACAGAAGCAGAGCAGCAGCTCCGATGGTTTGTCTGTTAACTCAGAAATCTAGAGTTGGATCATGTCGCTAATGTTTGGCAGAGCTAAAGCACCAACAGGCAATCACTTCTGTTACAAGAGTAAACTTTACAACAGGAGACACATGTAAATGAAAATATATGAAAATAGTATTTTTTTTTATTGCATTGCCAGAATAAAACATAACTTATGACAACTGCAAAGTAAAAAAACTGGCAGAAACCAGAGTTTATCTGATCTAAAGTTTTTTGTGTGGAAAAATTCAGCCGTAACGTGGTCAGTATCAAACTGACCCCATTTTAGTTTAGTATTTTAGTCAGTGGTTTTAGGGGGAAGTGGGTAACCTTGGCGTGATCGGGAAAGAGAACTATCAGGTCAGTCATCACCATATTTAAAAGCACAAATTCAGACACGGTTTGACCGTTATTTTGTCCACAATGACATATGTGTGTCCTTTAGTGCATCTTGCATCATAAAACCATGTGATTTATATTAATTCCTTGTATTAACGTAAGCTCCTTTTGATGTTTGTGTTAAAAGTGAGAAACTTTTCCCTAAAATAAACAAAATAGTTGCAATAGAATGTACAAAATGTTCATGTACATCAAGGAGATAAGCCAAGCCTCCCCTCACATCTAGCCTCACATTGTGGCTCCTGTGCAGGGAGGATCATCCTGTCACCTGGGTGACACGTCTTTTTTCCCCTGTTCAACCTCCAGCTGTGGGTCACCCTGCTGCCTGAATCGGTCTTTATTCTAGAGCAGGGCTATTCAACTGACGGCTCGGGGGGCAAATTAGGCCCACAGATGAACTCAGTTTGGACCACCAATGGGTTCATTTCAGGGCTTAATTTGTAAACCGATCAATGCTGGTATGCAAATAATGGGCAAGCTAGTGGGGGAGTCCTCCCCCAGAAAATTTTGAATGAAGTAGATGTGATTTCCTGCATTTTGTTGTATTTTAACAGGTTGTTAAACATGTATGTTTACCTGCATTTGAAAACACTTGCATCCAACATACACCCGCCCACTTACTTGACGGTTCCGAGCCGACTCTCCTCCGCTGAATTCACTGTCCGACTCAACATGTGAATCCTCCAGGCACCCACCCCCACCACTCTTTTAGGGGCAGAGATTGTATTATTGTTATTTTTAAGGGTAGAGGTGGAAATTCTTCACTTGAAGGGGCAGATGATCATATGTGATACTAAGAAGTCATGTTGTCGTCTGTTGTGTTTAAAATTAGTGTTTATGTAATTATTTTCAGTTTACAAATTTAATATAGGTTTTATTCATTCAAAGCAGTCATATTTGTTCATAAATATTATTAGTAAGCCTGATAGCTACTGGATCCAAGAAAACAGTTACCAGAATGCACCCTGTCAAAATATGAGCGTTCCCGGATTCTGTTCCGGCAAGATCTGGCTCAGATTAAGCCCTGGTTCATTTTTAAATTAAATGAGACTTTAAACCGTGACTTTCAGTAACAATGGCCCCCTGAGCAATTTAGTTGAATAGACCTGGTCTAGAGTCTAGACCCAGCCATCCAACAACCAGCTCTGTGTGTCCCTGACTGATAAAAATATCAAATCTTTGCTTCCTGCTGAGATGACTCGACGTGGTTTAACAAGTCAGGTGTGAATGTTTTGTCTGGGTCATGTGACTTTGTCTGTGCTCAAATTTCATAACTAGCCCAGTGGTTTCGAGTTGGACTTTTGCAGAGGAAAAAATCTGCACAGCTAACAATTAGTACTAATATCCCATTAAATACATCATATAACTGTAGTCTATTGTTGTGGGACAACGTCTTGATGCAATCATTGCATAAACAGTTTGCCTGTGTTTCTAGACTTTTGAACATGTTTTGGTAATGCACTCCAATAGAAGCATTATGTTCTGCATTGTGGATCCTGGTTTATTTCCTGCAAGTTGTCAGATTGTCCCTTTAAGCCGGCCTTGTTTGTGTTTGTGAAAGAGGAAAAGTGTTTTGTCAGTCAAATTCTAATTACCGTGAGGATCAGTGCCCAATTTTCAAACCCTCCTGTGCAAATGAAGTGCCTCAGTGAAAGCCACTGTTACTTTCCACGTGCACTTTCGTTTCATTTCATAAATCAGCTGCCTACCAAACTCCACAAATGAGTTGTCAAGTGCTTTGTTTTCAGTCCCAAAGTGAAACAAAAGCAGCGAGTTGTTGCGAAGAGCACAACTAACTCCACTAACGCCTGACGACAACCGAGTCTGCTTCGTGTAGACGGAGCACACTTGTGTCGCTAACTGCCAGCGACTGCCAAATGTGACGCAGTATAAATATTGTTTCAGAGGCCTTTCCAAGGTAAATATTGAGGCAGAGCTGTGGCAGCATCCACATTGTACCCTCAAAGAAAATAAAATTACAGCCAAGGTCTCTGTTTTTGCTTTCTGAGATCACAAACAAACAGCTAAGCATACATCAGGGAATCTGTTTGTCTTCTTCTCCAGGATGCTTTGTTGCGGCTGGCGGCGGTTGTTGATGTACGCTCGCTTCGAGTGGTCCTGCGGGACAGCATACAGGAACTGCTTCCTGGCACGGTATTACCTCACACACACACACAGAATCCGTTTGCGAGTGAACATAATTGAAATTTCCTCAGTTTATTACCTGAAAGCAAAGCTTCCTGTTAGTGATGAAAGTCGATGTCTGAGTCCCGACATCACAGCAGGGAACAGCTGACAGAAGCCTCTTTTATAAACACACGAGACTCATCGCTCATTATATCAGTTAGCTTGATTACTATTTCAAATCCCCACATCTGTTTGTGTGATTTATTCCAGGAGTGCGTCTGTGTCTACACGCTGGAGGGAGACTTGAGGCTGCTGTCTGACGACCCGCCGCACGAGCTGACGCAGGACGGAAAGATCAGGTGTGTGATGTTTGTGCAGAGAGCTGCGGGTGTTTCTTCCCGGTACGTCCGCACCACGTGCTGGTTTCCTGCTGCAACGCTGAGGGGCGGCGGTGCAGAGAGAAGGTGTAGAACAAAGGAGGAGAAGGGGAGGGAGGGTAAAATGGCGACGGCTGTTTGGAGTACCTGAAAAGCAGGTGTCACTGGAGTGACTCTCAGATCAAATCATCAGCACATGGGTGGAGGAGTCACAGAGCGAGCTCCCGTCACCTAGAAACACAAAGACACTCTCTGCCTCTCATATTTCATTATTACCACCTCTTGCTGCTTGCCCTGCTCCGTCTGCTTCTTCCGTCTTGTTCAACATCTTTGTCTTTCTGACAGCCTCTTTTGTCGTCTGCTAGCTCGTTCCACCTTCCTGCCTTGCTGCCTGAGCTGCTCTCAGCCATGTTGTTCTCTCAGCCTGCACTTTCACCAAAACACCTGTCCAGGGTGTACCCCGCCCCTCGCACAGTGATTGCTGGACATGGGCACCAGCGACCCCCGTGACCCAAAATGGAATAAACGGGTAAAGAAAATGGATGGATGGATGGATGGACTAAGTCAGCCGCCTGCGTTTTTGGGTTTTCCGCCCACACCTCTTTTTCACCTTCAATCCTTTTC